GTATTTAGAAAAGAAGGCCTGAAACTCATCTAGCCCATCTGTGCAAGTAAAGACTCCACCAAGGGGCTGGAGTGGGCTTGAAGGGTAGAGGAAGGTTTTGAGCTGTACCTTGTTGGGAGGAGAGGAGGAAGAGGGCATTCCAAACAAACCACATTTCCAGCACGTGAAAAGGCTGGATGCATAAAAGGGAATGATTGTCAGGTGTGACTGGTGCATGAGGTGAAGGGGAAGAGAATGCAAAGGTAGGTTGGGGAGAATCTTGTATGCCACAGATAAAACTTGTAACTTTATTTAGACACCAGGCTAACCTTCCTTTAGGACAATAACCCTCGGGCAAGAGACAGCTTCTCCCAAGAGGGCCAAGTTCTCTCACCCACTGGGGGCTCTTGGGATGTCCACTGAGAAGTGAGGGCTCTAGGAAGTAATTAACTGAAAAGCAAGCATTTGCTGATAGGGTGATCATAAAATTGACTACCCAAACCCAAAAACTGGGCAACAAGAGCATCTACTAATTATGTTGGACACAATTTGCCCAAGACCAGGATGCCTGATGACCCCATTTGTTGAGCCTTTTCTATGTGCCAGGCATTGAGATAGGGTCTTAACTTAGTTCATTTAATTCCCCCAGTAACTCCAGTAAGTAGGTGTAACTATTCCCACTTGACAAACCATGATGAGTATCAAAAGTAGAACTGACATCCTTTTGCATTCCCTTTCCAACTCCAGAATCTTTCTCTCCTACCTTCCTGTTTAAAAAAACCTGTTCATGCTTAGGGCAAGTGGCTGCTTCACTGTGTACCCTTCCTATTCAGTGGCATTTACCTGTGACCTGTCTCCTGGTTTCTCCCCATTTTAAGGCTTTTGAGACTTCCTCTCCACCCCGCATCCTGCTGTCCCTTTGTTGGCTCTGAAATCTAATGTGCATGGCCCATGCAATCTTCAGACCTTATCTTCCCAACCTCTCCCGCTCCAGGGCCCAGGCCTCACACTACTGTCACCTGCTGCCATGACCACACCCTGGACCTTGCAACTTCCTGTACTCTCACTCCCTTACTCCAATTCTACCTGTTCTACATCACCCAAAACACTAGGCCTTTCATGCCTTCATTACACCCAATCAATGGTGTGCTGGTAAATGTTTAACCTACTCTGTGGAGAAGTAATGTATGCCTGTATATAAGTACAAATCTTTATTAGAAATTTACTGCTATAAAGGATGTGTGGCATACAGCCTACAGATAATATAGAAGATTCTGTGAATTCTACCAGGCCAACTGATTGTTTCAGAGAATGCTTTCCATGATTTTTGCTAAACTCTTTTTATCTGTAGCCAGCATATGGAGGTGGTAGCAATTCAGCCAGGATTTGACAAATGGACTTGCATCCCAATTCACTCATTAACACTTTTCTCAGTACATTTTTCTCAGTAAATGTAACCGATGTGACTTACTGTAAAACTATTTCTCACCCCATACAAACTATATTTATTAAATTGAAACTGTTCGGCTTCAGCACGAACAGTAGCACACCGTTATACAGCAGGTCCTCGAATAATGTTTTATTATAATGTTGATGAGATGCCATAGGAACTTAACTCTTGTTTATATCCATTAGCCTGTGGTAAAACTGGTTGTTATACATCATTTTGCTTAAAGTTGCAAAACCTATCAACGATGTTAAGTGAGGGCTTAACTGTACAGCTGTCCCACCACAGAGCAAACCAACATAAATGTCTCAAGAGCAAAACGCAATACATTGGGATGTGATCAGTTTTTAGTATTTATTACCTTTGTTTTTTATATAACTTAATAGTAAATTTGTCTAATTGTAAATAATGGTGGTATTTAAAATCGGCTCACAAAATTCCTGCAAAGTTAACCATCAGTTCTTATGAACTGGATGATCAAGCTCCAACACAGCACTGTGGCCCCTCAACATTAGTCTGTTCCTTTCCCCTGATCTTCCAGGTCAGCCTAAAAAGGGCAGAGTTGGCATCCTTCTCAGTCTACTGGGTAAACATGACCTAAGGTCTCATAGTCTAAAATGTCTAAACTTTCTTAGTGTGGGTCCACGGAGAATTTCTCGGGAAATAAATATCACAACTAGTTTGCACTGGGCACAAAATAGGTTTACAACTTACTAAGTACTCCTAGAGTGACCAAGACAAGGGAGGTCTACTGACTCGCTTCGCGTTTGGTCTGGCAAACTGTCTCCACGCTCCGAGGCTTAGGAGATGGAGGGCTGCACATGGGGGTGCAGAAGAACAATGGATGTGAACCAAGCAGCTCTCCCACTCGCCCTGCAGGGAAATGCTGACTGCCCGGAAGCCCCACCAAGGAAACAAATCCCCGGGGGTTACCATCACCAATGCTGACACCAACGCATCTGTACACAGGATGACATTTGTAGACATTACTTCATCATTTAATGCTCACATCAAACCTGTGAGGCAGGTAGCAGAAGGTATCCTCAGCGTCCCTTGTCTGTGGGTAAATCACTGCCCAAGCATCAGGAGAGCTTACCGCTTTGCCAGCACCCCAAATGCCCGACACCAGCATGAACTAAGCAGTGGGCATCTCTGGCTTGTTCTGCAACAAGCACTAAAATGTAAAATGGACCTCCCCTCTAACTCAATTCATCAGAGGAATCTGGTTTAAAAGGCCCACTGTGAGCCCTATTCTAAGCAGCAGTCTCATCTAAGATCACCTCACAGTTTTAGTAATCTTACAACCACAAGAACGTGTACAGAAACCTTAGCAGGCATGGGAATCCCACATGGCTCCTAGGTGACCATTCCAGGAATTCTGAAAGTTGCTTTCAAGGATTGGAGCTCATGGAAGGAATGAGATGTAAACAATAAACATGCCCTCGTGAAGTTGCCCCCGCTCTTCTTGGAGGATGTAAATCTCTACTTTCCACCAGTGGCTTCCAGAGCAAACAAGGCTTTCACTTTTGGAAGATGTGAACATGATAAAGGAACGAACGCCAAGGAATTTCATTTAGCCTTTGAGTTCCTGGGGGCAGAGTGTCCTGCTATAGATCAAGTTAAGAGACGTTGGCCTCCATCTTTTTCTTCCTTCTTCCTGTAACAGGTGAACGCTTTCTCACTATGGCCGCTTCCTCCTCTCACAGCCATATTGCCAAAGTGGGGCGTCTACACAGAAGGGCACTCTCCCAGCCACTTGAAAGTACTCTTTTTAACTTCTACGTGCCCGTGCCACTCTGAAGCTTCCTCCAGTCAAAGGATCCGAGACCTTCTGCTCAGACCTCAGCTGTCGCCATGTCACACCTGGTTTCCTACCACTACCCAGAACTACCTGTCTTCCTCCTTCCTTCACGCCAGCTTTCACCTCCCTTTCCATTCCACGTAGACTACACTCATTTGCGTTATTTACACTGGAAAACATCTCAGAATTCATGTATTTAACAAATTGTGGACCGGTGACGCAGATTTGCATCTACATATTTAAATGCCCCGTCCTCAGTGTGTTGTTATTGCCAGTTACAATTTCTTACACCAAAATAATGGAATAGCAAATTAGAGTAAGGAAACTTACCAGGACACACCTTCATTTTAGAGGCCCAGGGCAGCTGCAGGCTTACAGCCCCACAAGGAATACTAACAAATACAAGGTTCAATGTATATGTGACAGTGACTACTTCAACCGCCACTTGTGTGATATATCTCTTGGAACAGCCTTCCACTTACCTAACCACACCAACCTGTCTAAGTTTAACTAGCACCATCATTACAGGTCAGCTCAAACATGGAGAAACAATTGCCAAGGCAAAGTCCTACAGTGTGGCTGATTCCCAGGTCAAGAAACAATCCAAGGTACACATCCTGACTCTACCTTCAGCTCTCCTGTCACAGCAGGGGCCTAGATACTGTCCCAGGAAGGAAGTCTCTCCCTCTCCCTTAAACTCCACCCATGGGATCTACCAGGAAAACTTTCCTGTGTTGCTTCCTCTTATCAAGTGATGTGAAACTTGGGAACTGGTCTCAATAAATAACATTAGATGCATGATTCTCTGTACATGCAGAGGGTTATGAAAGGAGCCTGCTGATGTGAGTTGTGGCAGTACAATCAAGGTGTTTTTCTGCATTTAGACTAGATGAACAGTTTTCAAAGTGATCTGTGTGTAAATGGTTTCATCAGTTCTACACTCTGAGCTTCTATTATGTCTTTTAAAGAACGGGTTGCACCAAAGACAGGGAGGCAGGGAGGGAGGGAGGGAGGGAGAGAGGGAGAGGAGGGAGGGAGGGAGGCAGGCAGGCAAACCCTAAAAGCCGGACTGACCTTCTGGTATCTAAAAATATAAACATTAGAATAACCTATTTCCTTCTTGTTCTTCCAACTCATTTGGACATTCACTTGCCTGGTAAAAGTGTCAGAAGCTAGGAGAGACTGGCCTTTGTCCTAGTTTAAATATGCATTTTAATCACCATTAATCTAATCCTAGCTCATTCTTCAGGGCATTTTGTGAAAACAGCAAACATAAACCTCCAATCTACAGCCACTTAAATGAGGATGCAATGCTGCCCCTTCGGCATGTGTGTGACGTGGCGACAGCAGCACCTATGGCCTTGGAAAGCCAATGCTTCGCTCCCTCTACACCATCCGGTGCCTACTCGGGACCTCCTGGCCAGGGCCCTCCCAACCTGTCCTTCAGGTGCTTTTACCTTCAGCATGGTGTGCTCTGACCTGAGACTTACCTGTCTAGTTAATTACTGTACCAGGCTGTGCTTTCAGACATCCCGAAGATGACATACGTACACTCCAGGGTGTTTGTTATCAGGGATTTTATTTGTTCTTAACTCCAGGGGGCTATGGTCTGATCAGAGAGACTGAACCTCACACCCTCCAAAGGAAATACCAGATTTGAATAAACCATGGCACTATGGCTGACAAGGTTTTTTACTCAAGTGACAGCTAAATATTAAAAAAAAAAACCCTAATAGAGGTCATTCTGCACAATTAGAAAATAAAGACACCAAACCATTTAAACATAATTTATGTACATTTATGGCTTTATACAATAACATCAAAGATTGTTGTGTCTGTAAGTACATCAGCATCATCAGGCACTTCTCAGAGTGTATTATTGGAATAGAAACACCGACTTTGCACTGTTACTAAGTAGGGAAACGCAGGCTGGCGTGATTAGGTACGTGGCCACGCCCACCACACCGTCAGGCTGTGCACCACCCTCAAACAGGAAGCCAAGAATCACACTAGGTGGTTTTGTTTGCATAAACCACATTGAATTTTTTTACTGAATGATTACTCCCAAACTAAAATCACAAGAGAAACTTCTCATTTAAAAGTCAGTTGTAAATTAAGAACCCTTAAGAGTTGAATATAAGAATTTTGGGGGCAGTTGAACAAGTCCCAATTGTATAAATATCTCTGGAGAACTGTTTCCATTTTAAGTGTCCTTCTCTTCTTGGGATGTCCCATTGATTTACTGCTCACTGGGATATAACATTTGCTAATTAATTTAGACTTTGTCAGTTTGTCGAAGCAGAACTTTCCAAGTAATGCATCTATTACCTAAATATATTCCAAACGTCTATATTACAGAAACAATACTTTTATACTTAAAATATCTGAATAGCTCTATAATACAATATGCTTTTAATAAAAGTACAAACCAGAGGAAATAAACAAGGCTGCATAGGTGATATCATTTGCACATTTCACAAAGCAATCATGTACAATAACTGATACACTACTCCAGAAAGTCAGTATTCGTACAGAAAAAGAATTACCAGAGGTCACATAATGTTTTCAAAATAGACAAGGTGCATTTCACTGGAGTTCACTGTACCCCCAGAGAGCTAGCTACCCAGGATTCATATTAGAATTTCAACACAGAGATAAATTTGAAGGGAAAAAAAGATATTTACAGACTCGAGGGAGAAACATCTTTTGAAAAGTCACTCTATGAAGTGGTAAGATTTCAATAATGATTTCAGCTGTACTTATCTCTTTAATGATCCAATGGGGGTTTGGGGGCTCGTGTGCAATGGCATGTGATAGACAGTCCATGGTAATGCTGCACCAACAAGTTCTATTCTATATGCAGGAGGCACTGCTCAGAGGAACTAGGGTTTCTAAAACCAGACATGTTTTGGAGTGGCCAACAATGAAAATGGTTAGAGAGGTGGTTATTTAACGAATTTTCAAAACAGAAGGTACAGTGGGAAGTTTAGCATAGAGCTGCCTCCTATAGAAAATCTACCAGGAACACTTGTGGTTCTTGTTAAACATGTAAGAAAAACCAAGCCAACAGTGATGCAATTCACAGGCAAGATAAAGCAAAGTGATTTGGGCCAAGTACATAGAAATCAGAGCCTTCCCAAGAAGGCAAGAAGAATATTTTTGTGCACCTTTTCCTTTTATTGTGCTGACTTCGGCATTCCACATGACTTGAAAATACCAATGCATTAAGTGGGACACAAAGCCAATTTAACTGTCAGTTACAGGTAATTGGAAAATATTAAAACACAATGATTGGAATTACAGTTTAGGTTGCTAAAGGCTAAAAAAATTCTTACTTATGCAAAGGCTTTTAAAATAAATTCAAATATGCAACTTATAGCTGGATGGCTGATTTTCAGATTAATTTCCTCAATTTTTAAACAAGTTCTATTGCATTTGGGAGCCATCTGTGCTCATGAACACCAAAGCATTCTACAAATCACTTAAGTCCCATTTTAAAATTCCCCTCTTCGACTTACTTTCCACAGTGTGCTAAGCAATCTGCAGAACAGAATGGAAAAAAGGATGAAGTGTGAGTGTTGACATAATCCTTCAAAGCAGAGCTACAAAACCAACCTCCACCTAGACCAAAATAAGAGCACAGAAATATGAGGGAAAACTTTTGCCGAAGCTCAACTCAAAAAGGTTGTTGATCAAAATCCCCGGTTTGAGAAAGGAGAACTGTTTTAGATGCAGATCTCCCTTTCTCATCTACAAACATTACAAAGCCCCCCAGGAGTAACTGCAATGACAAGCTGACAGGCATCTATCAGAAGACTCAATACTATGCGGATGCTTAGTTCACAGGGTACTAGAAGCAGATGAAATCTCTTTAAAACACATACATAAAAATGTATCAAATTCTCCTTAACATGAAACGCAAAATATCCATAACTGTACATCACTCTCCTGTCAAAACAGGGCCAGAAACGCTGAGTATGCAAGTACTAATTACAATGATTTTAAGATTAGTCAGAAACATCACCAAGTAGCATCCCAAAGTGTACAAACCAATTAAGCACAAAGTACAAAATTAGTACTAATCCAGTTAGAATACGAAATGAAAATTATGGATGCCGTCTCAAATATCTGGGATTCCACAAATTTACAAGCATACTATAACAAAGTAGACTCTAGTTTTAAGAAAACATTACAGTTCAATATCTATTCCATAAAAGATCTCAAGTCCCAATAGTAACATCAAAAATCATTTATCTGGAAATTATAACCGTTTATATGTTTGTACAAATTTGCAAATAACAAACAAAAAAAAATTGAAAAGACCTGTACAAGGCTGGCGTTTAATCTATTTTTTTTTCCCAAAAGAGTTTGACAAGTCCATTGATTCAGCAGACTGATAACAGGCTATTGGTTCTCATGTGAATTATGTGGCAACATGAACAGGTCCAAAGCTGTTCAATGGAGGTGCAGAACAGAGAGCTTGGTTCTCTGATACGTCAGTTCAGCAGAATACAGGTAGTACAAACAAAAATTTAACTTATCAAGGGCAAAGGCCATCACAGTATTACAAAAAGAGTATAAACTTTCCTTGGACCAAATGGATATTTAAAAAAACAAAACACACACAAGTACAATTCTGTAGCTAACTGCTTATATACAAAACTTGAAAGCACACCAGAATCCGAAAGTCTTTTCTGCAGTTATATGGTGTAGTGAGTTTGGCACTTGATTGTAATGAAATTTCCAATGGCACAGTCCTTATCTACAGCAGCACATAACCTGCAAACATTGGGCAAACATCCTGTACAGGAAAAGTGTCTTCGCTGCCAAGTCTGACGAAAGGAAAAAAGAAACGGTTTTTTTGTGATGTTTTTTTAAATCAAGAAAACGAAAAGGTGGGGTGAAGGACATCTTTGGACTTCTTCTCTCAGTTCCTGCTGTCAGACAATCTGAAGTACTTTTAAGTGTAGCCTAGGGGGAAAAAAATACACACAATAAAAATATAGACAAATTAAAATCAATTCAACTTAACATATTAGAGTAGCAGATATTCTTGGGGGTGGGGAGCTAGAGCTTTCTCAAAACAGCTCTAAAATCATCCAGTGGGTGAAAATCCCACTTTAAAAAGCCCTTCAGCATTTGATTTGTATCAAATGTATTCATTTATTGAGAGCTACTAAAAAGATGCAGCCATCTAACTGTCAAAAGAAAATCTTTAAAGCAGTTGGAGGAAGCTTCTGTGTTCAAGCTCAAAAGGAAAGTTTATAAGCTATAAAAAGGGTGAAGAATGAATGATAAAAGAAGCCTCTCTGCAAGGGGCAGCCAGCTGACATTAAAAAGAAGTCCTAACCACGGAAGATGCACGGCAAGTTTCAGCGTTCCTCTCTTTTTTAAGCTCTGTTTGCAGAAGGCGTTTAGATGTTGGGATGGTCTTACCTGCTCACTAACTCATTCTTAGCCTGACACCCAGCTATGTGTCGTCGTCTTGACACTGTGCTGGAAGCTTTGGTTGGGCAACACATTGTCAAAATTAAAATCCAATGTATCTCCATCCATGAGGTCGTTCCGAATAATGGACTCCATGTCACAGTCCCAGCGCTCGATAGACATGCCGTCCAAGTCACTTGGGAGCTTCTCCTGGTGGAGAATGCCCATCCTGCTGTAGCCATTGCAGCTGCCCACCGAGGAGTAGCCCCCATGGGCGTTCATCTGCATGGGGTGGGGCAGAGGCACTTGTAAAGCTGTCTTCACTGGGGCCAGGCGGTTCATACCCGCACTGTGGGGCATGGTGTTGACCGTGTGGGGCAAGGCACGCCCATTCACTGCAGACGTTGGCTGAGCATGTCCAGGGTGGGTATGGGAGCTGGGATTCATCATTTTGTTATGAGATGCCTGGCTGCCATAGGTTGGCATGACTGAATTGGGGCCCATCAACACATTCTGGCCAAGGACACGGCTGTTGGGTTGGGCCACCCCAGGATCAACGGGGGTCATAATGTCATTATGGGGAGGAGAGTCAGAAGTAAGTAACTCCTTCAAGAGTCCTGGTGCACAGTTATACTGACTCATACCTCCGTAACTTGATTTGTTGTCCTGAAGTGTTTGTATTGACATCTGGGGCAAAGGACTCATGCTGGATTGGCCGTAGGTGTATTTTTGGTAGTTTGGACTGGGTGAATTCAGACTGGTGTTGGGTGGCGTGAACGAGTAGCATGGCGTCTGCTGCATCATGGTGCCAGGTGAAGACTGGGTTGAAACAGTTAATGACGTAGGTGATGAGAGGAGGTTGAGATTATCCAAAAGGTTTTCCATGTTTTCAGGATTGCTTATCTCAGACAGACTGGGGAGAGTGGAAGTGATCTTGCCAGAGGATGGTGGGTACACCATAGAATGGACGTCCCCGTCGCCAAGATCATCCTGTTCGGTCATAATGGGGGAGAGTCTCCCGCTGATAGTACTAGCATTTGAGCTAGTTCGAGGGCGAAATGTACTCCAGTTATCAAAGTCATCATTGCTGTGAGAGCCAGGGCTAGCAGGCCATTTAGAGAACTGAGACCCCGGGCTGTCCCCGGCACCCTCCTGGCCAGACTGGAGGGATGCTTTTTTCTTGGCGGCTCGGCCTCGGCTCTTAGAAAATTTACTGTTGTTGTCCATGGATGCTGCTCTTCTCCTGGGGGATTTTCCACTCTTGCCTCCCTCTGGATTGAGCATCCACCAAGAACTTTTTCCAGTTCCTTCATTCTGCACACGGATGAACTTGCTGTGTAGGGACAGGTTATGACGAATTGAATTCTGTAAAGCAAAATATCATGTTAGAAATACAGTACTTCTCCAATCAGAAAACTTACTAATTCAATAGAGCTGTGTATTACATGGAAGTACAGGTTTCAGCCAGTATAGTCATTGTGGTTCTGAACCCCACCACAAAAGAACTCAAATCAGGACAGAAAAAAATAGTATCTTATCTTAAAACTATTATAATAGTACCTGTATCTTAATTTCATGAGGGGACTAAATTAAATATATTATTATAAATACCTCCTTCTATATATTGGGTTGTCGGAAAAGTCATGACGCATTTTTGCAATTAAAAACATAGAAAAAACACGTCACGACTTTTCCGACAACCCAACAGTTAACTTTTATAGGGAAATTACAGGAGCTGGTTTTAAAACCACTAAAATTTTGTTTAGTCACAGTGCTATGCAAATAGTACTTTACAACAAAGTGCTATCAAAAACCCTTTCATTCTATCACCCCTAAAGCTACTGCCAACTCTCTTCACATTGCACATGTGCGAAGTTTTAGATTATTGGGCCCACCTGATTATGAAAAACAAAGAAATAAAGCAGCATATATTCTTAGTCAAGAATTAAAAGCCCCAAAACTAGTAAGACCTGGATTTATTTACACCCTTAAAAGTCCATTATGCAAATACTGGTGAATATAAGAAACACCAGGTCATTTTTTATTTTTATTTTAGAAAGAACTGCTCCCCCCCAAAAAAAATTTAAATTCAAGTGTTATTCACCACACCCTCCTCCCAAAAACAACCAGTAGTGTGCACCAACTAACCCAACCACACTGCATCAGAGGTTACTCTCTGTCCAGAAAGACAGCTTGGGAGAGTACAGAGAGCTCAAGGCTTCCACCCACTAAGTAGATAGAGGTCCATGACTGAATCGTACCACATAGACCCTTAGGAAAACTAGTAGAGAAAAAATCAACCTTTTTTCGAGCATTTACGTGGCTCTGCTACTCACTGGATACATAACCTCATAAAACTGCTTAGCGTATGCTATGTGCCTTAAGTTTCCTCATCAGTAAAGCACAGAGAAATAATAGCTCCCTGGGTCTGTTATACAGATTAAATGAGATATGGTATGTAAAATGCTCCGTGGTGTCTGGTGCATGGTACGAGCCACTGAGAAGAAGGTATTAGATCCCAACTTTGAAGGTAGAGAGAGATACGACCCTTCTAAGCCCCGTTCCCCTCCTATTCACTGGGGTGTGGGTAGGAGCTTAGAGGTATGACAAACACAAACCCACAATTCAAAATACACAGTGAAGGAACTGGCGAGTCTCAAGATCCAGTGGAAGCAGTGAAGCTGGGCTGCAAATAAGAAAGTGCCAATCGGGTTCCCAATACTAGACACGCCGCGAGACTGCTAGAAACCGGAGAGCCGCTGACACACTGAAAAGGAAAGTGGGCACCTAAGATGGAGGGACCTTGTTTTACAGCTTTTTACCCCCAACACAGGACAGGGCACATAGTAGACTCTCATAACCTGCTCACTGAGCAGCATCTGTCATCAGGGCCCTATGCCAAGTCCAGGAGCAGGTTTCTGGGTGTCCTGGAACCCTGGAAGCAGGGCAAAGCACACGGCCGCCGGACTTCCCTGTGTCCTTTGCCAACTGGGTGCAAGGCTCAGCTGGCTGAGCCCCCTGGACTCCTGTGGTCCCTCTTCCTGACCACGAAAAGGCTCTGGCTGAATTTGTGGTCACCCAGGGATGCAGCCACAACGCCCACATCCTCATGCCACTGACATGGGGACGCAGATGTTTGACTGCCAATCACTGCACCAGAACAAAGCCTGTGCACGGGAGGACAAGGCCAGGGCTCCAACACAAACCATGAGCTCAAGTTTTTCCTTATTAAAAGGAGGTAGAAAACAGAACAGGGGGAAACAATTCCTATTTTCTAAAAGGAGATGCAAAAGTCAGAGTGAGGCCGGACAGTCGGGCTGAGAAGTCCACATTTCAAAACATGCTCTGACCCTCTGTACTACATTCCACCCAAGGATTGCAACACAGCAGCTATGTGACAAGCCCTGGCAGCCAGGGCACACAGAGAGTGAGGGTTAGACTCGGCCCTGAACGGGGGCTTCAGGCTGCATGCCAGACAGGTGTGTCCAGTGGATGGCAGTGAGGGTTCTCATGTTCCCAAGACTTTCCTCTGTCTTCACACCTATGGATCTGTCCCCAAACTCAAGACAAGGTTTGAGAAGGACTTTATGTACACACAAGACGCCCTCAAAGAGGCTGAGTAGTGCATTTCCCTAATGTCCTATTTCATTCCCATGACAATCCCCAAACCCTTTGGGAAGGTTTTACACATACAGTGTCTCTTTCTCCCTCATTCTGATTCATATTCATTCTCTCTCTCTCTCCCACCCTCCCTTTCTCTCTCTCCCTCCCTCCCTCCCCCAGCCACAGCCTCCTCTGCTGGGCCCATCAACACCAGAGAACTGCATTCCAAGTTCCTCCTTAAAGGTGCAGGTCTGCCTTAGGGTGACAGGAACTGAGCTGAGTCCTCTGACCCTGAGACAGGGTCTATATGTGCTTAACATCTGGCATTTGCACTCTTAACACAACAGACACACAGATAAAACTACAATGAAGAAATCTCTGGAGGAAAGGAAGCTGGACTCCTGTCCCTGTCACATTTAAAGATAAAGGGGGAAGATCTTCCTAGATAGTAGCTTCTTGGCTGTCTGCACTGACTGAGGGAGGGGTGATGCAGCTCACAACATTTAAAATTAGATCAGATCATCTGCAACTGCAACTGAGAGACATTTTTAACCAGACTTCAAAATACATAATGATGACATCTTTAAAAAATTCAAGAAGCATTCACTAACTCAGGTGGGACATATACGAACTCACTGCTTAGAATTACCAAAAAAAGGTCCCACAGCAATCCCTTACTTATCAAAATGTTATACTACATTCTTTTCTAAGAGGACATTTCAGGTCGCTCTTGGAGTAACAGAGCTGTCTCCTAACTTTGCCAACAATTAAAAAAAATTTTTTCCGAACAGGAAAAGGTTTTCTGTGCAGGGCTTGTTACATAAAGTCCTGTTTTTCACATAGCCAGCAGGACATTAAAGCAGCTATGGTTTCCAGGGAGGTGGGGGTGGGTGTATTGAATAGGTAAATCTTGTAAAAATGCGTGCTGCCATTTAATGATGTTATGTCCCAGTCTGTACCGGACCCAGCCAAGGCCAAAGGAAAGTCCGGTGCGTGCAGCAGAGCCACACGTCTGTCAGTGCTCTGAGACAGTCAATTCTTGAACTATGACAATGTACATGAGGAAAGAAGCAGGGTGCGAGGACAGCAGAACCATGCACTGCAAACCACTTACCCAAATCTTGGGCTTCTGCAAGACACCATTAGAGAAAAGGACAAGTCAGCAAATTTCCCCTCCACTAGCTGTACTTCCCTGCAGCCAGGCTTTCTGCTAACGCTGAACTGGCGTTCCTCTGAACACACCTCCCTCTGCAAACTGCTCCCTGACTCTCCCCTGCCATCTGCGTGCCTGGCCACCCCAAGCAGTACAGCAGCATGTTCTTCTTGGGAAGCTGACCCAACAAACTCCATGGATCACGTGGGTGAAGGGGTGTCCTGGACACGATACGCTCTTGCTTGTTCAACCTGCTCCACTGGCTATTTCTAACTCTCCGGTGTTCTCTCTTATGTGCTCTACAGACCAGATTCCAAGCTCCTGAAAGAACAAGGGGCTGAAGTTTGTTTTTATTTCCTAATCTTGCCTAACAGATGTTCTACACACAGGATATACTCAATGAATGAATGTTTGTTGACTGACATCCCAAAAACATCAGAGGGAAGATGCAATGTCTTACACATCTTTATCCATCCATCCAGATATCAATTCATGCCAAGTAACACTTATTGGGACCTATTTTCTGCTACATGCAGTGAAGGACAAAAGATGGAATTAGACACAGATTCTGCCCCTTAGGAGTTTCGTGATTTACCCAGGGAAAGAACAAGTCCACCTAAATACACACAAGGGACAGAAATGGATACACAAAGGACTGTCCAGGAGCACTTGCTTTTTTCCACTAAAGGTTACCCCCGCCAAATTCTGTCTCAGCCCCAATGTCCCCTCCTTCCAGAAGCATTTCCTGATAACCCCATCCCAGCCTGCAGCTCTCTAACACAGGAACCTTGTTTACTCACCATAATTATGATTCTGCTAAGTCTGGTCCCTTGGGGGTATGTCTGGCTCCCCACTACACTGTAAGCTGCACAAGTTCAGAGACCTAGTTTGTCTTCTTGTACACTGTCTCCTCACAGCTCCATCACCAAGAAGGCAATCAAGTATCTGTTGAATGGATTAATAGGTCCTACATTTACAGGGCTCTTGTGAAGATTAAATGAGATAACACATACCAAGTGCTTACCTCAATTAATATTAGCTGATGTTGCTATTATTAGGATAATAGCATCTATAAAATAACGTGTATGTTTTAGAGACTTACCTATGTTATAAACATTAGTCTCATTTCTTTACAATCATACCTTATATTGGTCCCACTAATATGAGGTTTTTACATGTTAATTACTGGAAAAATAGACCAATTTGGGGTAAGAGTTAAGATATGTTTCCCTACACTAGGCAGTGTCTCAGATGCTGTGGACAGAGGCTAACGAAGTAATGCAAATACTAAAGCTGGTCTGTGAACACACTTGGCGGTCAGTGTCATCAGCCAGTGTGTGACAGTGTGAAGCAAGGCGACTTCAACAGGCCACAGTCTGGCATCTCTGTGGGGATGGTTATGATTGAGCTCTGGTGCTCCACCGCCTGCCGCATTAGAAGAAGCTGGGTTCCCAGGCTGGCCCCTAGAGACCCTGAGGACACTGGACAGAAACTGCTCCTCCCCAAGATGCTCCCAGCCATGCTGTCTAAAGCAGTAATCAGACAGCCATTAGCGTCCAGGAAGAAGTCTTTACACTTTTCACTTACACTTTTTATCTGATTTTTTAAA